CACTTTGGTACACTCCACGTCTCTCTTCAGTTCCTCCATGTCTCGCTTCAGCTTCGCCCGTCGGTTCTGGAACCACGTTATCACCTGCCAAGAGAAAACACTGAGTTAATATCCTATTATTATTATTATTATTATTATTATTATTATTATTATTATTATTATTATTATTATTATTATTATTATTATTATTATTATTATATTAATTATAATTATTATCTTTACTCCCCTCCTCTTCCTTTCTCGACAAACAGTACTGTGTAGTCTGCGTTAGGTTCAGCGAAGATAAATCGAATCACTAATAAACATTAAATAAAAACTATAAGGATCATTGGGAACTATAAAATTTATTCAATAACGGGTGACTATAACAAATCAGACGATTCGTCGGCTAATCGGGAAAACCTTTAAAATAAGTCGGTGAAGATGTAAAACAAATCCAGTCACTTACAAGATTATATGCATTGAGAGGTGTATGTCTCTTGAGTATGTATACAAAGAGTTAAGTTTAGTGTGTATTTTAGGGGGGTTAAAGTATTCTTCACTGGTGGTGAACGGGTTTCAAGATGTTTTAATGACTCTCGTGTAGTCGATAAACCTCAAACCGCACGCATAAATTGTCTTCTGTAAATCGTAAAAGATATATTTGTCTTCGTCTCTGCGAAATTTCTACGAGAAAACAAACCGGCTTCGTAAAATCGCTCTAATGTTTATGGTTTTCACTTAAACAAAGTCGGCAATTCTTATGAGTTCTACTTTACCTCTCACTGAACTGAACCTACACGATAAGGTTTACAAATTAACCAAAGAGAGTACTTTGAAGGAAGATGTTTAAACACAGCCTTGATCTCTGTGTGTCAAGTATTACGAGACAAGAGAGTAGTGCATCTGAATGCCACTGGAATGCAGTTAGAAGCCTGAGTAGATCTATAACTCTATGATAACATGAACGTAGATAAGCACATTTACGGAGCAACTTGAAATATAAATTGAGTGACGTCGCGGTAGCCAGGCTTGGTTATGAGTACTTCTGTCAGCTTAGCATACACAAATATGATCAGACTAAATGCACAGTGTGTGAGATTAACTTTATGGTCACTTTCTTGAACACTATGTGCTTCGTTGTTCATTTATTTAGGTGTAGAAAGATAGACTATTTAATAAGCTATAATATGTCAAGGTTTGCCAGATATTTTATGCAAAAGCCTTAAATTTATTCGTAACAGATGAAAAATAAACAGTACGTAAGTGAATTGCAAGGCGATAATCACCAGTAAAATTGACCCATTACTCAAAGATGGTTCATACACTGATAAGGAGAGAGACATAAGTGAAGTCTTTAAAGACCATCGATCATCCAGTATTAATCAGTGCTCAGTAATCCAACAAATCGGACCAGAGTGACAGATGCAGGATTTTTTTTCTCACTAACTTGGCATGTCCTACAAGTCATGTTTCTGACAGAAATAGTAATCCCACTGAATTAGAGAAAATAAATAGAAAACATTCCTGCTTATTCTGCATCTGGGTTGGGTTCACGGAGTTTCTTGTTTATAGGAAGTGTTAAATTCGGTACTCTCTGAAGAGATTAGTTAAGAATACGTGAAACACCAGAAGGCTTAAAATTAGCAGTTATAGCTGGATTTTTAGCAGAGGCAGTAGAGCGCTGGCAAAAAATTACAGGTTGTGTCTGCTATCTCATTTCTTGGTTGGTTGTGTCTGCCTTCTTGCTTCTTGACTCACTATGTCTGCCTTCTTGCTTCTTGACTCACTATGTCTGCCTTCTTGCTTCTTGACTCACTATGTCTGCCTTCTTGCTTCTTGACTCACTATGTCTGCCTTCTTGCTTCTTGACTCGCTATGTCTGCCTTCTTGCTTCTTGACTCGCTATGTCTGCCTTCTTGCTTCTTGACTCACTATGTCTGCCTTCTTGCTTCTTGACTCGCTATGTCTGCCTTCTTGCTTCTTGACTCACTATGCCTTCTTGCTTTTTGACTCACTATATCTTCCTTCTTGCTTCTTGACTCACTATGTTTGCCTTCTTGCTTCTTGACTCGCTATGTTTGCCTTCTTGCTTCTTGACTCACTATGTTTGCCTTCTTGCTTCTTGACTCGCTATGTTTGCCTTCTTGCTTCTTGACTCACTATGTCTGCCTTCTTGCTTCTTGACTCGCTATGTTTGCCTTCTTGCTTCTTGACTCGCTATGTTTGCCTTCTTGCTTCTTGACTGGCTTCCTCTTCAACCAGATCCCTTTGTCTCATCAAAATCTCCGATTAAGACTATGATTCGTCAGCATCATAACTGGCAAAACCATCGTTCGCCGGCAGTATCACAAACAACCCATTTCGTATCAACAGTACTCTCATGTCGGTAGAATATGACTAACTATATCATACGTATTTACAACACAAAACTTTTCAGAGTACTCTGAGATGATTAATTCTATCGTAACCTTTCAGAAACTTGAATTTTGTCGTACTTCCTCCCTGGCTATCGTCCCACATGATGCACCTCCCTGGCTATCGTCTCACATGATGCACCTCCCTGGCTATCGTCTCATATGATGCACCTCCCTGGCTATCGTCCCACATGATGCACTTCCCTGGCTATCGTCCCACATGATGCACCTCCCTGGCTATCGTCTCGCATGATGCACCTCCCTGGCTATCGTCTCACATGATGCACTTCCCTGGCTATCGTCTCATATGATGCACCTCCCTGGCTATCGTTCCACATGATGCACTTCCCTGGCTATCGTCTCATATGATGCACCTCCCTGGCTATCGTTCCACATGATGCACCTCCCTGGCTATCGTCTCGCATGATGCACCTCTCTGGCTATCGTCCCACATGATGCACTTCCCTGGCTATCGTCCCACATGATGCACCTCCCTGGCTATCGTCTCGCATGATGCACCTCCCTGGCTATCGTCTCACATGATGCACTTCCCTGGCTATCGTCTCATATGATGCACCTCCCTGGCTATCGTTCCACATGATGCACTTCCCTGGCTATCGTCTCACATGATGCACTTCCCTGGCTATCGTCTCATATGATGCACCTCCCTGGCTATCGTCCCACATGATGCACTTCCCTGGCTATCGTCCCACATGATGCACCTCCCTGGCTATCGTCTCACATGATGCACCTCCCTGGCTATCGTCCCACATGATGCACCTCCCTGGCTATCGTCTCACATGATGCACTTCCCTGGCTATCGTCTCACATGATGCACCTCCCTGGCTATCGTACCACATGATGCACTTCCCTGGCTATCGTCCCACATGATGCACTTCCCTGGCTATCGTCCTACATGATGCACCTCCATGGCTATCGTCTCACATGATGCACCTCTCTGGCTATCGTCCCACATGATGCACCTCCCTGGCTATCGTCCCACATAATGCACTTCCCTGGCTATCGTCCCACATGATGCACCTCCCTGGCTATCGTCCCACATGATGCACCTCCCTGGCTATCGTCCCACATGATGCACCTCCCTGGCTATCGTCCCACATGATGCACCTCCCTGGCTATCGTCCCACTTGTTGCAAATGTCTTGAGAGAAATCAGTAATATTAAACACTAACGATATCTTAATAAGCCACATTGAACTGTGAAGAATTAGCACAGTGACGAATAAACTTTTTATACTTTGTAAAGCTTCTAAAGCTGATAAAGTTCTACACAGAGAGAAACGTAGCGCTAATGAAACCTAGCTCTACTACGTGTCTGTTCTTCACGCTAATTTAGAGAAATAATTGATAATTACTAGGAATTAATTTATTTCTCACTTATAAACATCGGTGAGACATACAACAAATTCTACTCTTTTCAGAAGGGTTAACGGGGGGTTTCAAGCCTGTCGACCACACGAGGGTCATTAAAGGCTGCGCCAGACAAGAATGATTTACTCCCTAAAATAGGGATTAGAGTAAACTGTCAGCATACACATATACACTGAGAATAATACACTTCTCGATGTGTGTATGTATCCTCGCTCCTCTCGGAAGTGATCCCATTTCTTGGCACTTTATACAAAGCTTAGTTTAGGGGTTTCAGTGGTGTGTTTCCTGACTTCCGTTTTCCTACGAAAAACTTTAAACCCAGAAACTTGACTGAGTTTATGTTTAATTTTTTCCAGGCTGTTAATATGTCTTCATTCCAAATGCGTAGAAGGTTTATAAGAAGGTTTTTAAGAGGGTTTATAAGACGATTTATAAGAAGATTTATAAGAAGGTTTAGAAGAAGATTTATAAGGTGCATGAAAAACTCTTGGGATTTATAAAATGGATTATTGAAAGGTTCATAAGAAGGTTGATAACAAGGTTTGCAAGGTTCATGAGAGGGTTTACGAGAATGGTTATAAGGAGGTCTACATGATGGTTTATAAGAGGGTTTATAAGGTTTATAAGAAGGCTCCTGCAGCTGACAAGTAATTATAATGGTAAATAAACCGGATTAATATTTACTTAAGTAAATGTAGACACGAGAAATATTTAAGATGAGTCGCCATGATAGAAATAATAATAACAATAACAACAACAACAATAATAATAATAATAATAATAATAATAATAATAATAATAATAATAATAATAATAATAATAATAATAATAATAATAATAATAACAGTGCAAGTCAATACCTAAATAGTTAGGTTAGGCAAGGTTTGTCAAGAAATTAGATGCTGGTCTTAGTCATATGATGACCCGCAGCTGGAGCCATCTGACCGAGGCTTCCCGCTAGCTTACTGGGTCCACCCCTCTAAAAATTAGCGCAACTTTTTACAAATACCTAAACAGTGACGGGTGTTGTGGTACCTCACCTGAGCGTTACTGAGACCAAGAGACTGAGCCAGCTCGTCCCTGTCTGCTGGCGATAGGTACTTCTGATACAGGAACCGCTTCTCCAATTCAAAGATCTGGTGGTTGGTGAAGGCTGTCCGGCTCTTCCGCTTCTTCTTGGGCGGCTGTCTGCTGTTGAACAGGTTGACGGCGTCTGGTGGAGAATGGAACAAAAATTCCGTTGGGTTAACTGGGAATTTTTTTATTCATCGAAACAGATCAGAGTTAAAATTGAAATTATTGTTAGGTAATGATATGATAATTATTATTTTTGTTACAGTCAAATGAAAAAAAATTAAAGCATTGGTTTGAATAATTGGGTTTAAATCCTATCGACTACTCAAAGGGTGAATAAAACTACATGTCACTTGTTCCCAACAAGTCAAAAATATTATATCCTGTGTAAACCCGTAAGGGCAGAAGATGACTTAAAAAAATACAGAACATCTTAGGGCTTTTTTTCAACCCGTAAGGGCAGAAGATGACTGAAAAAAACACAGAACATCTTAGGGGCTTTTTTTCATATATTCAGAGTTCGTTTTAGTGATTATATTTTCCCAATGTTCGTTATATCATAGTGTTCGTTATACACAAGTATTGATTACTCGCATGCGCTACATGTGCATGACCAATTACAGAAAAAATGCGTATGTCAAAAGAAGGCACGACCTAATACGCATTTATCAGAGGCTTTCAAAATGCATGAAAAAAAAAATCCAATTTTTGTAAGAATTGGGTAAATTTTGTTAGGTAAAAGGACATAAATGCAACTAATGTGACATTTTATTGTGGGAACGTTTCGCTCTCCAGGAGCTTTGCTCATTTGTTTATTATTACAAAAGCTTTGCCTACGCGTATCTTTTATTATCATGGCAGCCGCGGATGCGTAACCTGAGTTTTTTTTAAAAAAAAAAGCAACAAGATCGTGACTGGAACAATACGTGAATAACCCGCACATAAGAGAACGAAAATTTTGACGACGCTTCGGTCCTACTTGGGGGACATTAACTAGTCACCGAAACGTCGTTATATGTTTCACTCTCCCAGTATATACATATATAAACATAAAGATATACACTACCGTGTCCCTTTCCTGTTATATATATTTTTATCTATGTGGATAGTAAACATACCAGCTCATATTAATGATGCATTATGTTATTACTGTGTGGAGAGGTAAACCAATCGAAGACCTTAGTCATGCGGCCATACATAGCTTAGCCAGGTTACGTTACGTTACGTTACGTTACGTTACGTTACGTTACGTTACGTTACGTTACGTTAGAGGAAGTTAGGTTAGGTTAGGTTACGTAAGGTTAGGTTAGGTTAGGTTACGTAAGGTTAGGTTAGGTTAGGGGGTGTTAGGTTAGGTTAGGCTACGTGACGTTACGTTACGTTAGGTTATGGAAAGTTAGGTTATGTTACGTAAGGTAAGGTTAGGTTAGGTTAGGTTAGGTTAGGTTAGGTTAGGTTAGGTTAGGTTAGGTTAGGTTAGGTTAGGGGATGTTAGGTTAGGTTAGGCTACGTTACGTTACGTTACGTTAGGTTATGGAAAGTTAGGTTATGTTACGTAAGGTTACGTTAGGTTAGGTTAGGGGATGTTAGGTTCCGTTACGTTACATTACGTTAGGGGAAGTTAGGTTAGGTTAGGTTTCGTAAGGTTAGGTTAGGTTAGGGTAGATTAGGTTAGGTTAGAGTAGATAAGGTTAGGTTAGGGTAGATAAGGTTAGGTTAGGGTAGATAAGGTTAGGTTACGTTAGGTTATGTTGGGTTTGGGTAGATTAGGTTAGGTTAGGGTAGATAAGGTTAAGTTAGGGTAGATAAGGTTGGGTTAGGGTAGATTAGGTTAGGTTAGGGTAGATAAGGTTAGGTTAGGGTAGATAAGGTTAGGTTAGGGTAGATAAGGTTGGGTTAGGGTAGATTAGGTTAGGTTACGTTAGGTTATGTTGGGTTTGGGTAGATTAGGTTAGGTTAGGGTAGATAAGGTTAGGTTAGGGTAGATAAGGTTGGGTTAGGGTAGATTAGGTTAGGTTAGGGTAGATAAGGTTAGGTTAGGGTAGATAAGGTTGGGTTAGGGTAGATTAGGTTAGGTTAGGGTAGATAAGGTTAGGTTAGGGTAGATAAGGTTAGGTTAGGGTAGATAAGGTTGGGTTAGGGTAGATTAGGTTAGGTTAGGTAAGATTAGTCGGGAAACAAGACAAATGCTTCTTTCCTTGACGCAGGTCTTAGTCCTACGATGACCCACAGTGCTGGAGGTCTTGGTCATCTGACCGAGGCCTTCCGCTGGACAAACGTTCTCTAGACAAGCAAAATTATTGTGAACACACGATGTTCATAACTTGTGCGTCAAAACGGTAGGTCTACGTGAACGTTCAAATTTTTATTTTTTACCGGTGATGAAAATGCTAATGTGGTGAGGGAAACGTGGTCGATGTTTTGAAATATTAAGAAATCGCTAACCGAAATGTAATTTTTTTAGCTTCTGCGTTGTCGGTCAGTTGTGAATTGTTCCAGGCACGTTATTGTGTTCCACGCACGGTATTTTGTTTCTGGCACGAAATTGTGCTGCTGGTACAGCATTATGTTCCAGGCACGGTATTGTGTTCCAAGCCCTGTATTGTGTTCCAAGCCCTGTATTGTGTTCCAAGCCCTGTATTGTGTTCCAAGCACGGTATGGTGTTCCAAGCACTGTATTGTATACCTCGTACGGCATTGTGTTCATGTACGCCCAAGGCCGGGCTTCGAGAGTAAAAAAAACTCTCGAAGCTCATCAAAGGTATATCAGAGGTAAAGGAATACACCGCACTGTCTACCATGTACGGTGACTTTCAGTCTTGTTTGCTACCAGATTAAACAGACTTGCATAATTCTCGACTTATCATCCCCGAGTCTTGTTTGCAACCTGTTCAAGGATGACATTGCAATATAATAATTATAATGATAATTATAATTATAATAAATATAACTGAATCCCTACCCTGGCAGAATACACCAGAGTAGGAATTCAATTATAATTATTAATTATTATTATTATTATTATTATTATTATTATTATTATTATTAAACAGGTGTCGAATTGTTAAATCTCTAAAAGCCTGGACACTGGCGGGGTAGGGGTCGGCCTAGGAAGGGTTGGAGGGAGGGGGTAAAGGAGGTTTTGTGTGCGAGGGGCTTGGACTTCCAGCAGGCATGCGTGAGCGTGTTTGATAGGAGTGAATGGAGACAAATGGTTTTTAATACTTGACGTGCTGTTGGAGTGTGAGCAAAGTAACATTTATGAAGGGATTCAGGGAAACCGGCAGGCCGGACTTGAGTTCTGGAGATGGGAAGTACAGTGCCTGCACTCTGAAGGAGGGGTGTTAATGTTGCAGTTTAAAAACTGTAGTGTAAAGCACCCTTCTGGCAAGACAGTGATGGAGTGAATGATGGTGAAAGTTTTTCTTTTTCGGGCCACCCTGCCTTGGTGGGAATCGGCCGGTGTGATAATAAAAAAAAAAAAATAATAATATATATATATATATATATATATATATATATATATATATATATTATATATATATATATATATATATATATATATATATATATATATATATATATATATATATATATATATATATATATATATATATATATACACATACAAGTATTATACATACACACACACACACACACACATTTTCTTATTAATTTGGCATAGCGTGTGTGGTGGCAGGTGGTGGTTGAGAGGAAGTTATTTACCTGTCAGCCAGGAAATATTCAACCAATATTCAGGTGGTGTTTACCTTTGCTCTAACACCTCCATCTAATTTGCTATCAATAAGTGATATATTACGCTGACCAGAGTGCTGCTCTTCGTAGTTGACTTTGGCTTGCTTGTAAACCATATTATTTTAATGACAATTATTATTTAAATAATAATAATGATAATATTGATGATGTTTTCTATTTTTACTGTTGTTATTATTAATACTATCAATAATAAAAGTAATATAAAACATCAATATTATTATTATTATTATTATTATTATTATTATTATTATTATTATTATTATTATTATTTTTACTACTATTACTGCTATTATTATTATTATTATTATTATTATTATTATTATTATTATTATTATTATTATTATTATTATTATTAGCTAAATTATACCACTTCCTAATCATCACGATTATCATAATTTAAAAAAATAAATCGGACACAAAGTACATTGTCAGTCAAGAAAAAAAAAGACAATTTACCAAATAATCCTCTAAATACGTATTAATTAATTCTCTCTCTAGGCACTTGTGGCAACAGTGGCACAGAGTTGCGTCAAGGGTTGCCAGGTGTCGTCATATACGCTGATGATCGAGGGCGTTATGGTAATTTATCGAATACCTAAGTGTTATGGATTCGGAGTAATTATAATAAATGAAGTCATTAAATCAGCCGGAGCTGTGCATTAGCGACCCCGCTAATTGCGACTTGTTCCAAAAAAATTGTGATTTAAAAAAAAAAAGAAAATGGTATACTGTTTTTTTCAATGTTGACGTGAGTGTTGCCAGCCAAGTGATCATTGTTTTTTTTTATTTGGTTTGTGTCTTCCATGTTCTCTAATGGTTGTATGTGTGTGTATGTATATTAAGAAATATTATGTGTGTATATATATGTATATATATATATATATATATATATATATATATATATATATATATATATATATATATATTATATTATATATATATATATATTATTGTGCCCACGAACGAGTGGTGTTCATCAATAACAACACTGCGACTAGCCAAGGAGTCGAACCCATGCTGCTTTGGCCCGCCTCATATATATTTATTTATTCATTATTTTTTTTCGTGGTGCAATACTAAATCCGCTGGGATTATGCAGCCTCTGGAGATTAGCAGACATTCCTTCGATCCTTCTCTGCCTTTCCTTTTCTCTTCGTTCCTTCGTTTACCTTCTTCCTTTTATCTCCCTTCCGTCTACATTTGTTCGGACTCTTTCTCCAGTTTTTTTCTTTCTTGCCTTCATTCATTCCTCTTTCTATTCCTTTACCCTCTTAATTCATTTCTTCGTCCATTCATCCCTCTGGTTCCTCTTTGTCACTCGTTTCAATAAACTGTGGTCGTGTCAGCAGAGCCTTCAGATTT